GCTTAACCCAGATGTACTTGAATCACAGAATTGCTCGGGTATGTCTCAACAGCCTGCTTTAACAAGACCCCCAGGTTATTCTGATGCTTAATATTTGAGACTCAGCTTGGGCAATATAGGGAGGTCCTGTCTCTATAAAAATATTTTAAAAATTAGCCAGATATGGTGTCACTTGCCTGTAGTCCTAGCTACTTGGGAGGCTCAGGCAGGAGGAGAGCTTGGGCCCAGGATTTTGAGGCTGCAGTGAGCCATGATTGCACCACTGCACTCTCAGCCTAGGTGAAAGGGTGAGACTATGTCTCAAAAAATAAATAAATAAATAAAAAGAGAGAGAGACCCACTATTCTAAGTTCTAGAATAAGACATCATGCAAGCCTCATATATCAGTAGCAATAGTAACCGAGGAGACTAGCTTTCCCCTGCTGGAAAATCCTGTAATAACATTACCTGGGACAGATGCCTTGAAAGAGGATGCTTATTATTATTTTTTTTTATGACCCACAACAACTACCTCATGTCGCCTCCTGATCTCCTAACTAGAACCAAACATCAGCATAATCCTAAAAGGTAAGTACATGCTGTTACCCAAAAAGATACAGCTTGCACATAAAAGAATTACAAGATTTAATAACGTATATCATTAGAAACCAGGGCAACATGTGTAGGAGTATTCTAATAAGGGCAGAACTTCACTAGATTTGGCCCACTTCATTGACATGAGTGTAAAATCTAGAGATTCTAAATTTAATTTGTTAGCTTGAGCAGCCAGAAGTGGATCTAACAGCTTAATTGGTTGGTTGAATGAATGTTGCGCTCAATAGTAGTCTACATTTAGTAAGGTCAAGATGTCAGAGCTTTGCCGGCATGATGTAGGGGAGAATATGCAAAGTCTCTAGCACATAGAAATGTAAACTGAGTTTATTCTGTCTGTGGGAGGGCTCAGAAAACACTCCCTCCATGAAACAGTGAGAAATATATTAGTGTCTTCATGCTTGACAAACTTTGTAGTTGTTCTCCTTGAAGGCCAGGTCTATAGGGGATACCACTATTGAGATGGGGTCTTTTATTTTTTTTTTTTTTTGAGACAGAGTTTTGCTCTTTTTGCCCAGGCTGGAGTGCAATGACATGATCTTGGCTCAGTACAACCCCCACCTCCCAGGTTCAAGCAATTCTCCTGCCTCAGTCTCCCAGCTAGCTGGGATTATAGGCGTCAGTCACCAAGTCCAGTTAATTTTTTAAAATTTTAGTAGACACAGGGGTTTCACCATGTTGGCTAGGCTGGTCCCAAACTCCTGACCTCTGGTGATCTGCCTGCCTCAGCCTTCCAAAGTGCTGGGAGTACAGGCATGAGCCACTGCACTCAGTGAGATGGGGTCTTTGATTTCATAAAGATTATACAGTCCCAGAGTAGCAGAGGCCAAGTGGTAGTACTTAACCACCAAAGACAAAGGCAAGAGGGACACATCAACCATCACATCTCTCCTTATCCCAGATAATTCTTCTTGTTCTGATGTCTACTTTATCTGATAGTTAATATAGCTACTTTAGCGTTCTTTTGTTTAGTATTTGCATAGTGTATCTTACATCCTTTTGCTTTCAACCCATCTGTGGCTTTATATTTAAAATGCGCTTCCTGAAGGCAGAATATATTTGAACTTTCTTATTATCCAATCTGATACTCTTTACCTTTTGAATTGTGTGTTTCGACCATTTACATTAAGATTATTGATATGTTTGTGTTGAAATCTACCATTTCCTTGTTTTCTATTTTTTCATGTGTTCTTAGAGCTTCCTATCTTTTCTGCTTTCTCTTTTATTAATTCAGCATTTTTATGATTCCAATTTATCTCCACATTTGAATTATTATTTATGCCCCTTAAAAGTATTTTAGTGTTTGCCCTATTGTTTACAATACCTATCTTTAATCAGAGTCTACCTTGAGATAACATACTATTCATCTCCACTATAGGGACCTTATAACACTATTTATTTTTTCTCACATTTTATAATATTGCTACTATTTAATATATTGCTACCATTTTGCTTTAGACTGTCAGTTGTGTTTTAGATAAAGTCAAGAAAAAAAGAAAAATATTTTCTTTTACTGTCATGTATTTTATTTCCAATTCTTTTAGTGCTTTGATTCAAAGAGACTGTGATTTTTTGAGACCAAAATGATCTTTGGGCTCCCAAACTTCTACATCAGAAACTGGAGAAGATAGCCTTAAAGCGGGCCGTATTATCCAATGCCCTTTTCATGTATGGCCAAGAAAGATACAGGAAAAATAAGGACCTTCCAGGGAAAGAGTAAATATCTATAGAAAAAATAATACTGGACAGCTCTGACAGGGAACAGATCCAGGGTCTAATCAACCACTGGCCCTACCCAAAGGATACAGGCATCTCACAATGCCTGAATGAGAGCATTACAGAATTGTTGTGAACCAGTGACTGCTATACCCCTCTTATTCATCCCTTTGTAACATGAGTGTTATTGGGGATATCGTTTCCTCATTCAACCATTGTCGATAGATGAGCAGAAAAGAGGTGACTTGCATTTTTGTTTCTAGATAAGGAGAAGAACATAGAAACTGTAAGGGAATTTTGGGCTGAGACTTATACTGTGATGGAATGGACTCTTTAGGGATATCTTCCTTGGGGAATAGGAGGGTATATTTTGTATGTGGAATGGAGGGAAACAAGTATTTAGACTAGGAGGAGACATTATTCTGACAGTTAGTTTTTGTTGTATACCAAACCACAGCAAAGCTTAGTGGCTTAAACAAAAGCTATGCATTATTTCTAATGGTTCTAAATAAGAATCATCCAGGTAAACTGGCTGATTCCCCTTCTGTGAGCCAGGTTGGCTAGGACTGGATAGTCTAAGATAGATTCATTCACATACCTGGTAGTTGGCTTGATATCAGCTAGGTCAATGGGGATAACTGTGCTAAGAGTCTTATCATCCAGCAGCCCAGCCTGTGTTTGGTCATGTGACAGCTGTTGCAAGGTTCCCAGGAACAGCAAGAGAGCAAACCCCTTAATATGCCTCAGCTTGCATCATATTTTATCATTCCTATTGATCAAAAGATGCTACATGGCTGTATTACTCTGTTCTTATGCTGATAATAAAGACATACATGAGACTAGGTAATTGATAAAGGAAAGAGATTTAACTGGCTCACAGCTCCAAATGGCCGGGGAGGCCTCACAATTTTGGTGGAAAGTGAATGAGGGGCAAAGTCACATCTTACATGGCGGCAGGCAAGAGAGCGTATACAAGGGAATTCTTTATAAAACCATCAGGTCTCATAGTATTTATTGACTATCATGAGAACAGCATGGGAAAGACCTGCCTCCATGATTCAGTTGCCTCCACCTGGACCCACCCTTGACATGTAGGGATTATTACAATTCAAGGTAAGATTTGGGTAGGAACACAGCTAAACCATATCAATGGATAAGCCCATGTTCAAGAGGTGAAGAAACGTACTCCACCTATTGGTGAAGATAGAACATAGCCTATTGCCAAGGGCAATGCATACAAGAATGGAAACAAGTTGTGGTCATTGTTTAGGTTTTACTATTTTTCTCCATTTTTAGCGTCTTTCCTTATAGTAAGATTTTGTATCACTGCCCTTTGTCATATGACTTGCAGCGCCTCCCTGTAGGAGTAATATGCTTCCCCACACCACTGATAAAATTGGTTATGTGACTTTCTTTGACCAGTGGACTATGATAAGATAGGATGATTGCTGTGCCTCAGTAGAAGCTTTAATGGCAATTATCTGATTCTACTTTTGACAGTTTTTCCCCTCTACCACAAGAGTAGCATGTTTCAAATTAGGGCTTCTTTAGCCTGGCTTCTAGAATGGAGGAAACACACAAATCAGAGTCAGAGCTGATCTCTAGTGTGAATGGAAAGTAAGCTTTTGTTTGATAAGCCACTGTGTTTTGATGGTTATTCTTCACCACATCAGAACCTAAGGAAAAATGACAATGATTGATTAGCTTCTGTTTTTATATATTTCATCAATTCCTTTTAGATGAATCTTTCCTATTGACTTTTATTTTTTTAATTCTTTTTTTTTTTAACTTTCAATCAAGTTCAGGGGTACACGTACAGATTTGTTGCATAGGTAAACTTGTGTCATGGGGCTTTGTTGTATAGACTGTTTCCTCATGCAGGTATTAAGCCTAGTACCCATTAGTTATTGTTCCTGATCCTCTCCCTTCTCCTACTCTCCACCCTCTAAAATTCCCCAGTGCGTGTTTTTCTCCTCTGTGTGTCCATGTGTTCTCATCAAATTGTTTAAAATGCTCATAGATACCTTTTTTGTGTGTGAGATGGAGTCTCACTCTCTTGCCTGGGCTGGAGTGCAGTGGTGCGATCTCAGCTCACTGCAACCTCTGCCTCCTGCGATCAAGTGATTCTCTTGCCTCAGCCTCCATAGTAGCTGGGATTATAGGTACCTGCCACCATGCCCAGCTAATTTTTTTGTATTTTTAGTAGAGATGGCATTTCACCATGTTAGCCAGGCTGATCTCAAACTCCTGACCTTGTGATCTGTGCATCTCGACCTCCCAAAGTGCTGGGCTTACAGGTATGAACTACTGCACCCGACCCACTCACAGATATCTTCAAATGCCCTTGTTCTTATTTTCTTTTCCAGCTGTGGCTTTGTCTCCTCCCCAGTCACAAGTAAATTTATCAAAAGAGCGACATATGATTTGTATTTCTTTATAGTCTGTTCACTCTTAAGACCCTTACAATCTACATTCTCCCCTGATACCTCCATCAGTACAATCAATGCCACTCTTGCCAAAGTCACCAATGATCCCCACATGGCTGGTTCTGCTAACTCAACAGCATCCATCTGGGAAAGTTGACATTTTAAACTTTCTTTGAGGAATGGAACGTGAGTAGATATGATTTAAGCAGATTTAAGAAACCAGTGACCTAACCTGGTTTTATTTTCTCCTTTGTTGGGCTATTACAGGTTTTCTGTGACTTCCATGGCCACTCCCAAAAGAAGAATGTGTTCCTTTATGGCTGTAGCATCAAGGAAACCTTGTGGCAAGCAGGATGCACTGTGGGCACATCTACTGTCCTAGAGGATGTCACCTACAGGGTAAGCCGCTGAGGGGGATGCCACCAGACATACTGTGTCCATATTCTTTATTCTTACCTTTAAGACCATGCTTCATTCATTTATTTAGTTTTTTTTTTGGGGGGGGGTGGTAAATAAGCCTTTTGATTATTTTAACCTTAGGGTTGTAATACAAGCAGGCTGGAGGCATGTGAAACCTCTCCTAATTTCTGTTGAATAATGGCTTACTACCTGGTTGCTTTGCCTCTGTTTTCTGTAGGGTTTGATATTGTATAAAAGGTGTGAGAACTGGAGACAGAAGACGTCATCTTAATGCCTGGCTTTATAATTATTCGATTACTAACCATATGATTATGAGATCATTAGCATTATCTCTCTGAGCCACTCTTCTGTCATCTGTAAAATGAGGATAGTTAAAATACTGCCTCTGTTACATAGTTTATGGAAGGAACAGAATGACAGAATACAAAAGGACTTCAAATAAATAGAGAGGGATGAACATATATAAGCCATTAAACCATCCACATCTCTCTGCATGAGCATTCTATAAAAAGCAGAGCAGTAATCCGCTGACCCTAATTCTATTTTATCTCAGTTTCAGTGGTTAGAGCTCAGCTGTTCCTCCATGAAACCACATAGGAAATTAGGGAGGTGCAGAGAAGAGGGTACATCTTCCCATCAGGATAAAGAAAACAAGCTGTCACTTAGTGAGAATCAGGAAGAAACAGAGAAGCAAAGGTGCCCAAATGCTAAATGGAAGCTGGTCTTTGTTTAAAATTTATGTAGAAAAAGTAAAAATTAGGATGGTAACTGCCTCTTCCAAGCCTGTTATTCTGGGTATGACAATTTGCTATGTGCAAAATAGCTTCATGCCCAGGGTTAATGACAGTATTAAGAGGTAAAAACGTGCCAAACCACCATTTCACCTCGAAATATGTTCCCCCTTCTCTGGCCTTCTTCACCCAAGTCCCTCTGAAAAAGACTGCCACTGAGTAGTACAATCGCCCCAAGGCTTTTATGGCAGAATCAACAGCTTATCTTCAATAATCTGTCTGCTGTAAGGCTGGACCAGAGTAATGGTGATAAAACACAAGAGGCTTAACGACTCAATCTTATTTAGGAAACTAGTTTAGTAAATTAAAGCATTCATCTGAGCAGCCCACGTGGACCCAACCTATATAAACCATCTCTTATGTGGGATGCCTCTTGAATAAAAAACATCTGCCCGGTCCAACCTTACATACAGAGTCCGTATGTTTTTACTTCTCTTTTTCCAAGAGAAGGTAATAATATTAATAGATAATTCCACTATAAACAAGAAAAGGTTGTAAGACACAGAACCTTAAAAAAGCCTTCTGTACGAAGCTGATGTGAAATGGGGCAGAGGTCAGACATTGTAGAGAATGACGGGATGGGTTCTTATCAACTGTGTTTTAGTTTTGATGTATGATTCATATTGTTTAATTAATAAATTCAAAAATATTTTGAGGCCCAGATTAGTGTCAGGTAAGGTAAAAGGTATAACATTATAGAGGTAGGTATGCCAGTTTCTGCCTATGAGAATAAGCACAGTGGTACTTGATAGCAGTGCTGTTGAAAAGATGAATCCATCTAGACAATGAAGCTCACCTATAAGGTCCTTTAACTTTGGGTGGGCCTGTTGCCTGAGCCTCACTTTTCTCCCTTGTGAAATTAGGGAGTTAAATGTTCTATGTAGTTTATTACATCGAGTTTGTTGGTGCCCTGGGATTCCTTAAAGGTGATTCATGAGCTGCTATGACATATGTGGAAGTAGTGAAGTGAATATGGTTTGATCCCACCCCTTACTTTCAACCCAAACAACTTTGCTTTTTGGGGTCCCACATAGTATATAAACTCCCTCTATCACTGACACTCTAAGTCAGTGTCACATAATGATCTGTAAATAATTGTCTTAATACTGGTGATCTGCCTAAAAAGACTTCTGTGTACAAATGGATCTTGTCAGAATTGAAAGGACCCACTCATTTTGCAGATGGGAAAATTAAGACTCAGGGGAAGAGTGTCTTTGTAAGGTATGTTAATGTTATCATCGCGATATCTGCCAGCAGTCAACAGCCTGCTGATGCTGAGAGGCTGATTCCTTCCTTACCATCGAAAGTGGAACAATTCTAAACATGTTAAACTTATCCAAGACTTTTTTTTTGGTAATTTACCATTAGTATTGAAGAGACAGTTATATGCCCTATTACATTTCACATCCACTCTGCAACATTTATTCAATTTTATTAATCATCCTTAATGGTACTACTTCTAGTTATGTTGGTATAAAGAGGTCAGTGAATCCTCTCTGTAAAATGCAAGTGTAAAACAGAATAAAATTTCGAAAAGCAGCCCTTTTAGGACTCTGGAAATTTACCAAATACGATGATAAATTGAGAAGCATTTATTCTTGAAAATTGCTAAAGCTTCATTTAAGAATAGCAAGGGTCTGTGACCTTCTTGACTGGAGCTTCTCCTGAAACCACTCTATTTGGTCATCAAGAAATGCAATTTTACCAACAGAAGGATAGACACACACACACACACACACACACACACACACACACACACACACACACACAGAAATTTACAAGGGAGACCTTAGAAATGAGAGACCCACAGAAGAGCTAAGATAAGCTCTCTATAAATACATGGTATATTAAGACATTCTTGCATTGTTGAGACTAGATAAATTATAAAGAAAGAGGTTTAATTGGCTCATGATTCTATAGGCTGTTCAGGAAGCATAATGCTGGCATCTGCTTCTGGGGAGGCCTCAGGAAGCTTCCAATCATGGCAGAAGGTAAAGGGGGAGCACGCACTTCATATGGTGAGAACAGAGCCGGGGAGTCGGGGAGGTGCCACATACTTTTAAACAACCCAATCTCACACGAATTCATGATGCAGAGATGATGCAAAACCATTCATGGGAAATCCACTCCTGCAATCCCATCACCTCCTACCAGGCCCCACCTCTAACACTGGGGGTTACATTTCAACATGAGATTTGGGTGGGGACAAATATCTAAACTGTATCACATGGATTATGGAAAAATATGTGTCTCTTCAGAGAAGACCCAATAGAGACCAGTGAGAAATAAAGTCCAAAGAGACTTAAGAACTGCCACAGTTTTGAATGTCTTCCCAAATGACATACAAATCAATCAACAGAGGGTGGAAATCTTATGCACTCAAGATATTTGAGCACTACATTTGCCCAAATTATTGTATAACCACTATGCTTAGCAGCCACAGATGTCAAGCTAAATAATTTAAATAAGAATGTAGAAACTGTGTAGAGACATCAGTGGCACATAATGCAGAAGAAAAAAAAATATTCTGCAGATTAATCCAGGAACGTAGTTAAAGTTTTAAAAACATTTAAAAAATAGAATCCAGAGATGTTAAAAAATTATAATCTATGATGTTCAGTTTTCAGCCAAAAATTACAATTTTGTAAAGAATCAAGAATGTGAAATCCATACTCAGGAAACAAAGCAGTAAGTAGAAACAGAGTGGGCCAACCTGTTGGATTCATAATTATTTCCAAGCAATTGTTAAAATATGTTCAAATAATTAAAGAAAGAATTAAAGAATTAAAGAATTAATTAAAGCATTGCATTCAAAAGTTAATGGCAAAATATGATGACCATTTATTCAATATATATGAAACTTTGACAGAGAATTAACTAAAAAAGAGGAAGGAAGGAAGGAAGGGAAGGAAAGGAAGGAAGAAAGGAAGGAAGGGAAGGAAGGAAGGAAGGGAAGGAAGGAAAGGAAGGAAGGAAGGAA